TTTTTTGCAGTATTCTGCACAAGATGACAAGGAAAATTACTTTTTTTTTTTTTTAATCACACCTTTTGGATATTAGATAGCTAAGATGAGAAGCAGACTAGAAAAGCCAACTGAAGTTCACAGCTTCATAGAGGACATTGCTGTTGTTTTTTCTCTTTTCAGTCAGTAAATATGGAAGCCAATAAGAGTAAGAACCCTAAAGACTTCTGCAAGTGTGGCTATATTAATCTTTCCTGGCAAGCATATAAAAGAAAAGGAAAAATTTTCCTCATTTAATACTAAGTGCATTCCATATGTGAGATTACAACTGAACTGAATATTAAATTGCTGCCTCCATTGCTTGGGGAACTTAGAAGTAATCAGATGGAATTTTATCACTTCTGAAAAGTATTTACTTTATGTTGGAGTACTTTACCATGTGTTCAAATCTTGAGTTTTTCAAGAGGCTTTAAATTGTTTTGGGGTATCACTACAGTGGTTATCTAGAGATAGGAAGTAAAAAATGCTTATACATGGGAGGAGACTTGTCTTATTGCCACTAAAAGCATTACTATTAAATCTGCTAGTTTTTGGAATTGTCTTCACCTACTGTGTAGTTTGACTTAAACATGGTAACATTTTTGTTCTATGTTTTGAGCTGGTAGGAAACTAGGTTACAAAAAGTAAAAATGGGTGCTAGTTTCTTTGCAAATTATACTCAATCTACCTGAAAAGCTAGGGATGTGAAAATTTTAGAATTAGGTTTCAAACGTATGAGAAGAAGGGGTTAAAAACAGGAAGAGTGACAGATCAGGTACTACCAGAAGCAAGGTATTATGCTTGCTCTGAATTCTTAGTTCTTCTACTCCCAATGGCACAACTAGAAGTTATGTAACACTAAGTTAGTGAATATTTCATATTTTCCACATGTGTATATCAGAGTTGTTCCAGTTTTCCTTTGATTGCTATCTACGGGGTGGAGCTGGAAGCTTCAATATAAATGTAAAAAATTACGTCTTTTTTCACTACTACTTATCAACGTGCCAACATTTGATCCTTTATAAATACTGAACTTTATAAATACTGGAAGAGACTTAAGTCTTAGAAGTCTACAGAAAAAGAAAACATTGTCTACTGAAGATGAAAGCAGTAGCTAAGCAGCTTCATTCAAAGTACCATCAGTGCCATGAAAAAAAGCTACAGTTTCAGAATAGTGTAGAAATTATTCAATTGTAGCAATGGATATAAAGATTTTATAGAAGTTTAAAAAAAGATAGCAGGAAGCCAACTACTAATTTCTTTACTTTCTTCTGACAAATGCTGAAAGATATATGAAGTTGTAAATGCTATTCTTTTTGTTGACGTTTCAGAGATATACATTAAATAGCTAGAAATATCTTTGAAAGGAAACTAATGTTTATATGAGTGGTTAAAATTATAGGTGATTCAAGGTTGTGGAAGGAAAATCCTAGGTGTTACTTGCCTATTACAAACCGATATACATACATTTATGCCAATGTATGCCTCAGGCTAGAATCCTTGGGTTAAATTTGATTCCTCTGGGAAATTCACATCTGATTCTCACACCTAGTTCTGTTCAGGTAAGACTTTCCTGTTTGGGACCTCTTACAGTGTAAAAATCCTCCCTCCCTCTGTAGTACAAGAACAGCAATCATCACTGTTTTTATCAAGCATAAGAATTCCTGGAAACAAGTAAAGTTATGTTGGCCAATTTTAATGATCTGTCTGTATCCCTTGAAGTTACTCAGTGTGCCTGTAGCATGTTAAGTTTGAGTGATGATGTTAAACAGTATTTCACACCATAACTGATAGCATATGGACTTTCAGTTGTCCTTTTATACTAATCTTTTCCAAATTACACAGTACACACTGTACACTAAGGGCTACATGTATGCCAAATCTCCAGTTTAAGAGTTCAGCTGTCCATATTGCTGCTACTCTGGAAAAACAGTGTAACAGTATCTCAAGAAAGAGTTTAAGCACACTGCACTGTTTGTTACTCCCAGTGTAAAAAGCAGAAAACTTAATAAGTTAAAAAGTAGGTAAAAAAGATAAAACTTTCAAGGTTACACATCGTGTCATATCAGCTTGCACTTCTTAGTTCTGATGAAATTTTTGACTAAAGCTTTAGGCTTTCTCCTCCCAGCAGGGGTCAAAAGTTTAAAGTGCAGCATGCTAAATTTAAAGTACTAGTAGGCATTTGAATAAAACTGCTCTCTAGTCATGAGTTTTAACAATAAAAGCATGTGCTTGTCAAAGTGCATCAACAACTCTATCATGGGAACTGTATTTGTCAACAAAACCTAAGATTTATATACATGTAAAAGTGTAGCAAAGTAGGTTGTATGCTGTGGTTTTCCAAGGTAAATAAAGTACGAGGCCATGTACAGTAAGAGAAATAACCAGGACTTTACTCCAAGATAGCATAGGAAGAGGTTACATATATACTTTTTCACCAAAGTGAACAGAAAAATAGATAAAGCTCTAAGTTTTGGATGTTAACATTCTTCAGTGGGAGAAATCTGATATGGCCCATATTTTTGTTTAAAGTGACACAAAATTACTAGCTTTTAAATTAAAAAAAAAACAGTGGAGAAAGGTTACTGAATTTCTAATAATTAGAGGAGCATATTCACCTTGTACTGAATTTAATCCATGTTTAGCCAGGGGTTTTAATATTATACATTTAGATCATAAACTACTGAAAGCAAATAAAGATAATAAATGGAAAACTCCAGGTTTTAAGACCTAAGGTTGTACAGTTTTAACTTTAAACAGCA